ACCTCCTTGTTGAAAGCTAAGAAACACCTGAATGCAGATTCCCAATCAACACAGCCCTTCCGAGTCAGAACCGCCAGGGGAAGAGCTTGGAAGTCTGTATGCATAAATATATATATATATATATTAAAATCTACATAACAAAGAGTTGTGAAATCATTGGTTCTGGTTGTTCCCCTTTCTCCCTGATTTTCTGGCTGTTACCGTGCAAGGACCAATTCCAGAGCTTTATACTCTGCTGTCTTACGTGACATCACTCTTCTGAAGTCTGTGTTTTTAATTCGGGCCTTAAGTGTTGTTATTAGGTAGTGCTGGGAGTCACAGCTTTAAAGGAAGGGGTAACTGGGAAATCAGGTGTAATCCCAGAGAAGAGCTAAACCACCTGGTTGATAAGTGCTTTCACCTGCCCAATAAGCATCTATTTGGGCAGATGAAGGAACTGTTCTCTGGATATATAATACAGATAGGAAAAACAGATGGTTCTTGCCTGAATGGGGCATTTATGTTCTGAGGAACAAATCACTTCGTCAATCAATTTTCTATAGAACAAGAGAGTTTGAACTAGACTGCTTAAAGACAGGTTGAACCCAAATACCCATGATTTGAGTAAATATGACTCAAATGAACATGATTTTAGAAAAGGAAGTTAATCTGATTCTGCAAGAAAAACTTCAGGAAATGTTCAGCTACCCAGGGGCCAACAGAGGGTCCCTTTTGTAAAGAAGGGGGCACAGAGGTGAGTGGAAAGTGAATGTCTTTGCAAACCATGGGCCAGGCCAGGAGAGGACTGTGGACACTATACACCAGGACACAGTCAATTCCTGGAGACAAATCCAACTCAAAAGACCTTAAGCAGAAAAGAAAGTTGTACTGAGACTCACGTGACGGGACGATCAGCATCGGGCAGGTGGGGTCACGGAGCCCCCGGGCTGTTTACAAGGACCTCCTCCCCGTCCACTTCTTGGCTCTACTTGGCACACAGCTGGATCCAGGAGCCCAGACAACACTGTCAGAGCGAGGGCCTCTCCTTCAGGGTAGGAGAACCCATGTCAGCTCTGAATGCCTATCTTCCCAAAGAAGCAACCCTAGCAGTAAAGCGCCTCTCTAAATAGCTCGGGGAGAACAGTTGAAGGGAGCACGCTGACTGGCCTATCTTGGCCCAATGACTACGGTCAGAGGATGGGAGTCTCCTGGTTGGCCAGGCCTACATGTGCAGGTCAGCCCCCAGAAAGGGCTAGGAATGGGTTTTCATCATCGAAAAGGAGTGTGAGGTGTCATTCTCCAAAGCAAGAGATGCTAGCAAACAGTGAGAGCTTCAGTAAGGCTGCCTAGCCCAGCCACAGGGGTACCATTAGCCTCATGGGGCACCGTGGGTCAGGGCTGGGGAACACAATTCTTCAGGCTTCCTCTACCCTGTGAGGCTATGAACCGGAGATGGGGGAAGGAATGTCAGGTAGAAGATGCCCCAACAACAAGAAAGCAATACTGGCCGCCTTAGAATTATCCTGTTAGGTGATGTAGGAAAATAAAATCTTTTCTCAAAAAGAATCCTTAGGCCTATTCCATAGGCTTGAGAAATACCATAGCATAGGTAATTTGGTGCCAGAATTAGTCATTTTGGCCCTCTAGTAACTGCTACTGCTCATAACATGGCACTGTTTGCCCCATGACCAGAAACATCAGTAAGAAAATATAATAAATATTCCCAGCAGCCTTCCAGACCCCTCTTCCTCTTTGCAGCTATGGACAGTTTGGGCATTACCTTTGGGTCCCAATACAGGGCTCTTTGCTGCTCACACATCCTTTCTGCATTGTGATCCTCCTTCAGGTTTGTGGATAACCCCTTGATACTCCTTGGAAGCAGTGGACGAGGTGGCCGTGCTGGGTGACTTATGCCCAGGCTTCTAGGAGCTTCCCTGTGTGCCCAGGTGTGAGTGAAATTTTCTTGCTTTATGCAGGTTTGAGTGATTCAGTCCAAAGTTGAAGGAAGGTAAGAGCAGCTGGGAACCCTAGAACTAATGGAATTTCTTAACTATGGCATCTCTTGTCCGCAGAAGGGAAGGGGAGCTCCCTTTCAGAAAACTAAGTCCTTAGAGTGGTGAGTTTTCAGCTGAGAGATGGAGAAAGGACACATCACTGTGCCACATCCCTCCCCCTTCCCTGAACATCTTTTTTTTTTTTTTTTTTCCTGGAGACAAAGTCTCACTGTTGCCCAGGCTAGAGTGCCATGGCATCAACCTAGCTCACAGCAACCTCAAACTCCTGGGCTCAAGCGATCCTTCTGTCTCAGCCTCCTGAGTACCTGGGACTACAGCCATGCGCCACCATGCCCGGATGATTTTTTTCTATATATTTTTAGTTGTCCAGCTAATTTCTTTCTATTTTTGGTAGAGACGGGGGTCTGGCTCTTGCTCAGGCTGGTCTAGAACTCCTGACCTCGAGCGATCCTCCCGCTTCGGCCTCCCAGAGTGCTAGGATTACAGGCGTGAGCCACCATACCTGGCCCCTGAACATCTTAAAGCATTTAATATTTCCACTCTATCACATGCACAATGACCTCACTTACTAGACCTCACCTCGTGTTGACTTAGTTAACACACAATTCTCCTGTAGGTTGGCTATTTTCCCTAGTCTTCAAAAGATCAGAGACAGTAAATTATCTACATGTTCACCCTCAGAAGGAAAAATAGCATTTGTTCAACAAATGCTCATCGAACTCCTGCTTTGTGCTAGGCATCAGGAGTATAGTGGGAAGCAAGACAGAGTTCCTCTCCTCATGGAGCTTATAGGCATTACCAAATAATTGCACAAGTTACTGCAGCTGTGATAAATGCTATTAAAAAGGAGGCAGAGTGCTATGACAGCTTGTAGCAGGAAGACCAATCCGAAATTGTTGGGACCATGGAAGGCCTCTGGGGGAAGAGATTTAAGCTGAGATGTGAATAAACATTACACAGGCCAAAAGGAGGAGGGAAGAGCGTGAGAAGTTCGAAGCCTGGGAACCTGCAAGGATTTGGCGTAGCTGGGGTAGAGAAGCTGGGGTGAGATGGGCATGGAGAGGTGGGCAAGCAGCCAGGTCAGACAAGGCTCTTGGGTCATACTGAGGATTCTCAACCTAAACCTAAGGAGAGTTTTGAGCAGGGAAGTGACGTAAGAATTGCATTTTTATACTGTGATGTGGAGATTGGATTGAAGGGAGGCAGGAGTGATAGCAGGTGGAAGAACAGGCTATTATTGGAGTCTAGGTAATACCTGTACATTGGGCAGCTTTAAGGCATGATTACTAGGTCAAAATCAGTGGGCTGAAACAGAGGGTCGGGGTGCCAAGTTAAGGAGGGGAAGATGATCCTAGATTTCTCGCATGAGAAATTCAGTGGATAGTGGAAACATTTACTAAGGAAAGAAATACTGCAGGAAGTTTTTTTTTTTTTTTTTTTTGTAGGGGGAGGATTGTGAATTCCATTTGGATATGTTAACTGAAAGATGCACATGAGATATCCATGTGGAGATGTAGAAGAAGTTAATATGAGCCTTGGGCCCAGAAGAATGGTCTGGAACCATAAATGCAGCAGTTTATATTCAGATTAGAGATAGGAATTGAAGCCATGAGCTGAGACCACTTAGGGAGAAAATATGGTATTAGAAAAGGGCCTAGGACTGAGTGCTGAGAAAGTCCACTTGTTCAAACTGGAGTGGAGGAGATGGTAAGAAAACTGACGAGACTCAGAAGCAGGAGTGTGGCAGCCAGAGCCACACTAGCCTGCAGTGACTCCACCTCCTGGAGTCATGTCCCTGTGCAGTCTCTGCCCACATTGAATGGGGCTAACCTGTGTATAAACGTGACATTGTGGGAATGACAGTGCATGACTAAGGTTGTGGCTATAAAATCAGAAAGGCCAGATGTGATATCTCAAGAGAGCTGTTCACACAATAAGGTTTCTAAGAACCTTAAGGGCATTGCCCCTCAGCCGTCTGAGCAGAAGCTCAAGGTAGAGGACTTTTCTCCAATAGATTGTGGGTGTGGCTTTTGCTGCAATAAGACTCATAGGAGACATTGAAGTGTTCAAAATATTCACAGTAACGCTGCCAGCTTGAACTGAAAGAGACCACAAGGCAACATGTAAAGCTGCCTGTGGATTCCTAAAACCCTACCGGCAGGAGGCAGGCAGAGAAAGCTACATAGCTGCGAATTGTGGGCTACCGTTTGTGGAAACAGAAGGGTGACTCGGCTGCAGCCAAGAGCCCAGCCCCTGGGACAGCCCCTAACAATTCCCTCTTCTGATATTCACACCCTTGTGTGTTTCCCTCCCACAATGAATAGGATTGACCTGTGTAACAAACACACTGTGGAGTGACAGTGTGACATTTGAGGCAAGTCATGAAGGACAATGCAGTTTCCATCTCACCCCTTGGGACCCCTGCTCTGAGGGGAATCACTTGCCACGCCCTGAGGACGTTTGAGCAGCACTAGAGATGCTCACATGGGGAGCAACGGAGGCCTCCTGCCAACAGTCAACGTGGGTGAACCAACCTGGAAGTGTCCCCTGCTATCAGTCCAGCTTTCACGTGACTGTGGTTATCAGCTGAGTCCTCCTGAGCAAGAACTACCCAGTTAAGCCACACTCAGATGGCTGACCTACAGAAACAGGAAGGTAAGGTTTGTTGTTTTAAGATGTTATGTTTTGGGGTAATCTGTTATGCAGCAACAGGCAACTGATACAAGAAGACAGACCAGAAGAGTGTGAGTTCATGAAAAGTAAATGTTTCAAGAAGGACAATTTGGTGTTTTTTGCACATTTTCAAAACTGATGGTGTTTTGCCATTACCACATCAGTCTGAGTTTTAGTTCATTTTAAGTAGATGCAGAATGTATAAAACAGAAATAAGTACATTTTTGCCTTCTGAGAAATTCAAGTAAGACATTTCCAACCCAACTATGCCCATCTCTATGGCTCCAAACTGACTTTCCCGCACCCATCTAAAACAGGACGCAAGAAACCAAATTTCAAACTTTGCTTCTTTTATTCTGCCATCAGGATTAGTGCAAGGAAGTGAGAAAGATTTAATCTACGTTTCTTAAGTAGCAATTTTAAGAGCCAAAGTTTGGTACCAGATATAATAGCACAGTATAGATTTTAAAACCCATGTTTCTTGAAAACCATCTCAGCAAGCGGGACCAGCTCTTTATTTCCAGGCCCTCCTTCACAGCAACAGAATCACAGAAGGCAGCAGCCAGGTGAGAACTGCTATAACCAAGAAGAAGACCAACAGCCCTCTCCAAACATGATACTCTGAGCCATGACTTCCAGGACTTCTCCCGTGACCGTGGGCTTTAAACCATTCTACTACTTCCTGGAGGTCAAAGGGCTGAGCCTCATAACCTAGCTCTTTCTTGGCTTTCTCTAAGCTAAAATAATGTGTGACACCAGTTTTATAAACTTCAGTGCGGGTGAGGAAGGGCTGGAAGTTGTAGAGTCGACCCAGAAGGAAGTGGGCCATCTCTGTTAGGAAAGCAAAGCAGTAGATGAGGTATAGGGGCAGGCGGGTGGATGGGAATGTGTAGCCCAAGCCCTCGACCAGAGGCCGGAAGAACTCGAAGTTGTTCACTGGTCTGCCATCTGAGATGAAGTAGGGCTGCCCAGAGGCAATATAGCCCTTGTCAGCTTTCAGGGCCTCTGAAGCCAGGATGTGAGCCTGCACCAAGTTATCCACATGGACAAACTCCACCAGGCTCCCGGGATCCCCGTACACAAACTTGAACAGCCCCCTCTCAATGTAGCTCACTATCCTGGGAAGGTGCCTTCGTTCTCCAGGCCCATAGATGCCAGCTGGCCTCAGAGCACAGGTTCTTAAGACACCATCACCTGTTTCCAGGAGCGTACCATTTGCCTCCAGCACCTTCCTTTCCGCAATAGATTTGGTCCGAGAGTAGTGATCGGGGTGGAGGTGAAGAGGTAGGTAAGGCAGAGATTCATCCCCGTTTCTGATAACTTGACCTCCAAAGATGACATTGAAAGTGCTGGTGTAAACTAACCTGGGCACCCCTCTCCTCCGACAGGCCTGGAGGACATTATCTGTGCCCCCCACATTGACTTCTTCGATCAGGTTTCCATTGAGTTGCTCCCTTCCTGACATGCCGTAAGAGGCAATATGGAACACACAAGTGACGTTCGCATCCTGGAAGGCATTCTCTACGTCAGAGAGGTGGCGGATGTCTCCCCGTGCAAACTTGATTCCTTCTGGAATGGTTTCAGCAGGGCTGTTGATGTCAAACAGAATCACATGGACTCCCTGCTGGTTCAGAGCACAGCCTAGTCTGAAAGGAGAAAGAATAAAGTTAGATCGAGTCACTCTTAAGCTGTGAAGAGTGCCTAGAAGTATATAAAATAATTTACCAATCAAGGTGGAGTCCACTCTAAGTCCCTGACTTCATATGTTCATTGGTGCAAGTCTTAATTCTTCAAATTTTCAAACATGAGAATCCTCTTGTCTGCTTAAATTACAATGACAGAGGTTTTATCTTTGAGGAATGGTGGCATCTATTATACAATATGATATTTTCCCCCTCCGTTCTAGGACCCACTATCCATTTTTTTGGAATATTTGTGAATAATAACATAACTATGAAAGAATAGCTATTATTTTAAATTGTTTTTAGTGATGTGAATAATCACTCCTCCCCAATTTAATGGCCTTATATTCCACTTTAAGAAAAAGTCTTTATATCTGTATTCTCAATTTCAATGAGCAGTGAGGCAACACAGTTTATTTCTGGTTTAACATTATATAAACAAGTAAAAGTCTGCACTGTATTAAGTGTCAGAGTTGATACCGTGTTTCCCCAAAAATAAGACAAGGCCTTATATTTATTTGTCCTCAAGATACCCTAGGGCTTATTTTCAGGGAAGGTGTTATTTTCCCTGCAAAGCCTCAGCTTGCAGCACGTACACGATGGCCGGGACCTGACAAGGGGAGCCGACCTTGTTGGTGGGGCTGCCCTCACCTTTCTGGTCACCTCTGGGATAGTGGCTGTCACGATGGGTCGGATGAGAAGGGCTGCTCGTCTTCTTTCCCGCTCCGCAATGAAATGCACGGGTTGTGCAGATTTGCTGCGTAGCCGTGCTCACTACTAGGTCTTATTTTCGGGGTAGGGCTTATATTGCGCAAATGCTTAGAAATCCTGTCAGGGCTTATTTTATGGGTATGTCTTATTTTTGGGGAAGCACAGTAGCTACACATTTTCCGGCAACTACTAGTAAAATAATTCCGTGGGCATATTTTATAGATGCACTGACCAGAAACCGAAATAACCTCCTCCTCCTGTAATGAGGACAGTTTCAGCTGGAGATTTTTCGGCGTCCATGGGCACAGGCAAAAGATAATTGATCCTGTAAGAAAGAAGCATGCAGCGCTATTACTGATCCAAATGCAAATGTCATTCTCCTTAATTTTGAGTTAACAAAAGCAAAAGGCCAATATGCTCTAATAGAACCAGAAGATAAGACCTGGGTCTAGTCACAGCTATATGACGTTAGCCACCCCCTTCACTTCTTGGCTTCAAATTTCTTCACATGTAGTACGGGTCAGTGATACCTGTTCTGCTTACCTGACAAGGTCACCGTGAAGGTTAAATAAGATAATGTGCCTGGGAGTGATTAAAAAACCGTAAAGCACTTTTCAAATGTAAGGTATTATTATTAATTGTTGGAAAAGATTAGAGCCTTTTAAAAAAAAAATTCATTCAAATTTGGTAGAAAGGCATTTTCCCCCATACACCACAAAATCAAAGATAGAACTCTAAAGGAAGCTTCCAACATCTTTCATTTGAAATAGTACACTGTGGCATAGTTCAATACTGTTTTATTAAACCTATACTTAAAAAAATAGAGGGAAAAACTCCTTTATGTAGCAAACCACACCTCCCCCCCAATCTTACAAATGCTCCAAGTGCAGTGCTCACTGCCTTTGAGGAGTCCCACTTCTATCTCCCTTCTCTTCTGTGTCCCCTGCCAAATTCCTCTCAAGGCTCCAAGAACCTCTTCTCTCCAAAATAAAACAAGCAAAGAGTGGGCCACCAAATTCTTCCTACATAAGAGGAGAGAAATGGATCAGGAGGTCCTCAAAGGCACTGGGAATACACTCTCTCTCTCTCTGTCTCTCAAGCCAAGAGAGACACTCAGAGGTGTGATTAGGCAGGGAGACTGCAAGCAACCAAGAGCCCTACCACTGTCTCCTCTCAGCAGGGCACCTACAACTTTGGCCGCAGCACTGTGTCAATGAGTTTCAACAAGGAAAGAAAACTGGGTGGCGGGGGGACAGGAACACATAGTTGAGACATCTTGCCTCTGCCCCTAAACGGTTACATGGCCGTGGCCAAGACATGTCACTTCTCCAGACTTTACCTTTCTCTTCTGTCAAGTTGTGTGCTGTGCTGTATTGTAGAACTCTAAGATTTCTAAGAAGCAGTTCAGTACAGTGGAAATAACAAATGGCAAACAGTGGAAATAACAAACACAGTGGAAATAACAAATGACAAACAGTGCTTGCTACGTGTACCAGGCAGCATGCTGAGTATTTATAAGCTATTTAATCCTTTTAATAATCTTAGCAGGAAATTACTATTAGTACCCTGTTTTTCAGCTGAGGAAAATGAAGCAGAGTGACGTTAGTAAATAACTTTCCCAAGCTTACCTGGACTCACATCCAGTGGCAGTTTGGCCCTAAGAATTCATATACTTAACCACTAGGAATCCACTTACAAGTTGTGTGACCCTGGGACAGTTAATCACTCTGACCTCTTCCTTCATCTAAAAAGTGGAGTTGATAATAAGCTCACAGGCTTATGAAGATCAAACGGGATAATGTATTAAAAATGTCCAACATAATGCCTGACATAGTGTAGGCACTCAACAGATGTCCTTTCTCAAATTTCCTTTTCTTCAAGCTCTAAAGTTTGGGGGTTTGATTGTTCCATGACATTCCCAACTGCCATGATTAGAGCTCTCAAAAGCACAGGGTTACAAAGAGCCTGACAAGTTCTTCTGCATACCTGTACAAGTGGATCAGATTGCCAGTGAGGCTAATCATATTGTTCAGAGAGAATGAGTCTGTGTGACAACTGAAAACAAGGTTCAGCAAGTGACTGTCTCAGTAGCCTGAGGGTACCCGGAAGAGAAGAGTAAGAAATACGAGGGAAATTGAGCAAAACTTTGGTGTGGAGGATGACTAATGGATTCTAAAGGTTCCACTAAACAATTGCCACAGTTGGGCTCACAAGAAAATGCATGAAGAATGAATGCACCAGTATGCTTTCAATATACCTGATGATTCTATTGTTTTTTGAGTGCAGAACTCTCCCATTTGGATTTGAAGTAGCCACAAAACCAAATGTAGTCAATTCTATTATTTAATGTAATCGCATGATTTTGTCACGAATGCTGTTTCCAAAAACAGCAGACATCAGTTTCCGATGCCTCAATCCAGACTTCTTAAATTCACCTCTATAACTAGGTCATTAGCACTTCTTGTTCTCACCTCAGTGTGACATGCTGTGCCACCAGGTCCTTGCCTGTGTCTCAATATTTCAGTCCACTCACATGTCATTCACCTAGAGAGGCTTCTCTGATCACCCTAACAAAGCCTCCAAAACCTCCATGCTGCTTGTTTTCCCCACGGTATATTACACAATCTCAAACTATTTACATTTTCATTATTGATCTCCTCCCCACAGAATGTAAGTTCCATGAGAACTGAGACCTTCTACCTTCTGGGGTGTCCCTAACCAGAACCCAGAACACAGTAGATACTCAATATTTGTTGAATTTATGGATGATTCTGAATTCTGTAGAATATTTCCAATTTAGTAAAAATGTGATGGGCATAAATTATGCAGGGCCCTGCAGTGTCTAAGAGTCACTGCCATGCATGACACTTAATGCTGCCATTTTAACTTAATGTACCCCCCCCCATCTCCCAAAAAGTGCTGGTTTATGGAATAAAAAAGACACAAAGCTAGATGGGACAGAGCTCCTGAGTTCTGGAGCTTACACCAGAGGAGAGAGGCTCCTCTAAATATCTAAGGGACAAGGCAAAAAAGGTGAAAACAAGATGACTGTTATCATGTTGGTATTAAAAAAGTGTTGTGGAAACGCTGAGGTGGGGTGGGGAGACTGACTCTGCCAGGGCAGATCAGAAGACTTCATGGAAGAGTGAGCTTTAGAGCTACAGGGACCACGGGAGGATTCAGGTAGGCTGAGAAGAAGATTATTATAGGCTGAGAGAACATCATAAATAAATGGACCAGCAACAGGGAAGGCTGTGTTGGACAAGTAATATGGCCAGTCTGCTATGGCTGATGTAGCTGGGGCTTTAGGGTGGAAAGATAGCCTGGGGTTGGCTGGAGACAGCCCTTCCTCTCCTTCTGGGGAATCTGAACTCCATCTTGCAGATAATAGAAAGTCTCTGTAGGTTTACATCAGGGAACTGGCAGGATAACCTTGGTTCCTGTGAAAGAGCAAGCTTCCTCTGGAGGAGGGAGAGCCTAGAAACAGGCCAGGGTCCAGGGAAGGGGAGATTAGGATCTAGGCTGGAGGGTTATCGATCAGGACGAAATGCCAGTGTGCTCAGCTGCAATCGGGGTGAGGGCTGGTGAGCACCCGAATGAAGCAGCAGCAGGCAGCATCCAGGTGAAGCTGGAGAAAGGTGAAGTCATTAACTGAAACAGCAGGTTCTGGAAATGATCATCTGGTTAATAGAGTTTTGATTAACAGGATGCCAGATAACAGAGTTTAAAAAGCTATTCTTCATATCTCTATAAGAATTCCACTGTAAGGGATTCAGAAAATGGACAGGCCTCCAAGAGCCCAATTAAAAAATTCCAACAGAAATGCTTCCTAATCTCTAATTATCTTTTGTTTTTAAAATTACACATTCCAGTCCAGTTACAAGACCACAGGTCAATCATGGTTCATGTGCACATTAATCAAGTCAGCAATGCACAGTTTCAGATTATTAATGCTTCAGAAGCCTGCCAGGCCTATTGATGCTACTCATTACCTTCCAACTAGTTCCAGAATGATCTGAGCCAAGAACGTGTATTACCAACCTTATCAGGGGGGTCAGATGTGAAAGGTAAGAAAAATTAATAATTTAACAAAACAAACAACAACGAAAAGAAGCCTACCCACCAGGTCAGGATGACTTTTCGCAGTTACCAGCCGTTAATGGTACTGCCAGGCAGCCACCTCCTTCCTTCCTGGTCCCCTACACCAATAAGCACATTAAACATCTCAGCAAACACATTTCATAGAAAACCCCAGGAAATTCTCATGAACACTAAACCAGAAGGGAGAAAAGAGTATACACAGTTTTTCTTCAACCAGCTGCCCAATTTTAATATATTTTACAGCTTCTGTTTTATTAATTAGTTTCCATACGATTCCTTCTAGGGCTGGGCACTCAGATCTGCCTTTATAATGGCAATTGCTTGAAGGCTCTTCTGAAATGTGCCTTTACTCAGTAATTGCTTTCCTCCGGGGTGGAGGGTTATCTCTGACCTGAACAGTCATTTTAGCAGATACAGGTTAAAGTTAAGCACGTGATCAAGAAGATGGAATCTTAATTACAAACAGGAAAAAAAAAAAAGGAATTTAAAATCTGCCTGACCTCCTGATAACACTAAGGTAAAGTGAGGGTAATAAAGTTGACATCTCACAGGGAAGTTATGAGAAGAAACTAATAAAAGATGACTGGGAGTACTTTAGATTTACAAAGACCTAATTAAATGCTAAAGATCAGCAATAAGAGCCTTAGATTATGCACACAGTTCCTTCATTCCTATGAGTTTAGGGTTATGATGCTACTAACCCTCTGGTATTATAAAGCAATGTAGAAATCTAGGTACCATTAGCATTTCACCAATAGAAAGTATGCAACAGAGAGAATTTAAGGTTGTTTCCATAAAAATAAAAAATTACTATATTTACCTTAAGAAAGATAAAAATACCTGCAAGTAGTATAACTCTATGATTAGGTGTTTTAAATTGCTGCACAAGTACTGACCAAAGGTATTAATAAAAGGTAACTGTATTCTTACTATATGGAGACCTGTAAAATATACTGAAGCTGGAGGGCTTATCAAATAGTGCTGTTCAAATTCCATGTGTGATCTGAAAATTACTCGTGTTTAATATAAAGTAGTCAAAGCAATAAAGATGAAGTAGTTAGAGACCATAAGGAGAGGAACCCTGATGGAGATGAAAGGGATGTGAGGTATAAAACCTATACAGCCAGACATAGTTGGGAAGACAATTAACTAAGGACACAGCATTAGTGGAAAATAGGTATACTCATAACAGAGACGGGTATTTGTGGACGCAGTTTTGAATATAACTCTAGGTAGCAGGGCAGCTGTCTTTAATTCAGGATCATCACCTTAGGTGTACCAAATCTTGTTCAGCTGCATTCAAACTCCTTTTATGCAGATATTAATATCTGTTGCACAAAAGATCCCTGCAATTCTTCACAATGCTGATGACAAAAGAAATAATTTTATAATTGGCGTTTTCCATCTCTTTCCCAAATTACCATATAAACTCCATGTAAGCATAGACCAGCAATATCTGCAGGGACAAGGTACAGCTGGCAGAATGTAGACCCAGAAAATCCGAATGTGATGAATATTTTGCAAGCTCTTCAAATGCCTCTTTCTGCCACATATGCATGGAGTACTACACTTGTACTTCCCTCACTAGGTCAGCAGTTTGCCACTGCAACAAATTGAAGTAATATCAGCTACCATTTATTTAACACTTACTCCGTGCCAGGCACTGAGCGATACTCCGTCCACAAATTATTTCACTTGATGCTTATAACAACCCTGTGCGATGAGCACTAATTTGTTAACCCCATTTTACAGATGAGCAAACTGAAGCTCCGAGACACAAAGTGACTAACCCCCACGTCCTACAGCTAGCAAATGGTAGAGCAGGGATCTGTACCCCTCATCCAGGCGCAACTGACTCCATAGTTTATGGCTCAACCTCAGGAGCACCTGGAGCTGTGCAGTGTCCCTGACCTGAGTCCTGTGTGGGCTTTTACAGTTCACAAATTCTTCAGCCTCGTAGGGGTCCTCCAGTTTCTGGAGGACCCCTATCTCCTACCACGAGGCCAAAGCAGCAGTGATGCAGGCTTAAGATTCCTAGGTTGGAAGTCAGAAAATCTGGGGCCCTACACTTGGCTTTCCTACCAAGTCCCTGCGCAACCCTGGGCAACTCACTGAACCTCTCTGATCCTACTTCCTCCTCCTCCCTAAAATGAAAACCACCGCCATCATGGCTACATTTATTATGGGCTGGGCATTTTAAAGGTTTACCATTTAAGTCACAAGACAATGTTCCCTGGTAGTTACTAGTATCACCATTAGCTTTTCAGAGATGAGGAAAATGGCTCAGAGGTTAAGAACCTTGCCTACAAATTACGCAAGTCGTAAGTGGCTGGGCTGGATCCAAGTCTCGAAGCCAGGTCTGTACCACTCTTAACCACAAGGTACAACGCCTCACGGCAGGGCTGGAACAGTGCGTGTTCTCTTAGGTCACTATTTTGTCACCTTCACAATTTCGGTCATACCTGGTACATCTGGTACTATCACTCACCTCTGGGGTTTTAAGTCCCACTTACCTTTTTACAATAAATACATTCATCTTACGTGACAACCTCACAGTGCCACCTTGGCCTGAGCGCCACCTTGGCACTGTGAGCAAAGTGGGAAACCAGAACCTGTCATAAAGAGAAGGTGATTCTTCCCCCAAAGTGCGAAGAAGATCAAAGGGAGGAAGCAAGTTTAGCAAGGTACCTGTTGAACGCTCTGAGCCTGGACATTCTAGAAAGCCAAGCTGAGCCCGGCTCCTTGGAATCAGGGAGAGGACTGAAGGGGATGGTTCTCCCCGCCGTCCCCGCCGTCCCCGCCGTCCCCGCCGTCCCCGCCGTCCCCGCCGTCCCCGCCGTCCCCGCAGTCCCCGCCGTCCCCGCCCCCGGAGGCTGCCACCTGCCGCCCTAAGCGCCCCGCGACGCGCGCGCGGCCCCACGGGGGCGCCTTCCGGGCCGAGGCGGGCCCGCAGGGTCCCCGCGAAGGGGCGGCTGCCCTCCCGACCCTGGCCCACTCACAGCAGCCGCAGACGAGGTCGCCGCCCGCTCCTGCGCGAAGAGAGACTACCCAGGTCTCCTCAGCCGCCAGTCGCCCTAGCTCAGCCGCCAGAGCCGTCGGACCGGTCTCCTGGAGCCACTTCCGGGCCTCTCTAGGCAGCCCGGAGGTCTCGGCATCTCCATGGTGCGCGGGTTTGCGGTCTAGCCTCACCTGTGCTGGCGTTCAGGTCCACTTCTTGGCAGTCTCCCCCACGTTGCCAGCCCGTGTGTTCCACCGTCGTGGGAATCCTTATAGGTCACGCCAACCGCTCTTCCCACCTTCACTTTTTGCTTTAAGACACCCACCTGCGTCTTTGTGTACCTATGCATGAGCACAGTGACTGATAAAGGGAGATGCTCAGCTTGGCATTGCTTGGATGGGTGGGTGATGGATGTGTCCCTTGGTTTTACTTGTTTTTCCAGCTCCACTTGTTCTGGTCCCCAAGCAAGCAATGATGCCAAGACTAACCTTTGTTGCTGAAGGAACCAATGACTTAAAAGGCAGATAGAAAGGAAGGTTGGTATTCTCATTCAAAGGCTTCCCTGAGAGGCCCATCTTTTGTCTCCTCTTCATGAGTGGGTTCTAGGGAAGGTTGCATCTTCTCTGCACATGTGCACCCGTGCCCTACAACAGACTCCTTGCTGGGGAGGATTTCATTTTAGTGGCTTGAAGGATGGAGGTTTTGGCTTCATATACTGCACTTTCCTATAGAACGGGTACCAAATTCAGACTCAAAGAGGCTCATGTGAATTACATCATCTGCTCAGTTTTCACTAAGAACACAGTTGCAGGACAAACTTGAGTCCTGGAATATGAAAATAAATGAAGGCGAGGTGAAGAAGGCCAAGTCTCTGGCATTAGCCACTCTGATGGCCCCTATGGCATGCTTGTTGGTTTTGTCCCCAGTTGTGATCCAGCCCTAAGTCTTAGAAGACTGAGGATGGTTGAACCAAGTAGTCTTAAGTGACAGTTTTGCAGTGTTTGCTCAGGATACATAAACATTAAAAGAGAAGAGGAAGGGAACTTGGGGGGCTGGGAGACAAGCTATATGCTCTTGAGACCTCCCTCCCCACCCAGCCAAAGAAGAAAAAGACCCCCTGAGGATGCAGTACAGGGATAAGTTTCCTTTTGGGGATTTCAGGATCCTTTGAGGGATACCAGATTCACTGTGTGTTGCTAAACATGAGAAGTGGTGAATTTAAATGTTAATATTCTTGTGCCAGTAAGTACTCTTTTAAAATATAAGCACATATGTTTTAAAGGAAAATTACACACTTTATAATTACTTCCTTAGCTTCCATTGCAATTTAGTGAGTTGATTTTGTAAATCTCTGAACAAGAAATCTAAGATGGAAATGACTAGAGAAAGAAATTGATCTCAAGGTGAGTTTATATGTCGATGCTTGTTTGGTTTTGTTTCCACCAATAATATATCCAGACAGTGGTTGCATTTCGGGAAGATCAGTTTGCTGTCATAATTCTTCACAGGTGTACAATACTTTATACATTACAAAGCACGTTAATGCCTATTAGTTCATCGAATTCTCACAGATATTGATATTAAGGATCGTTGGGTTATAAGTAGTAGAGAGCAGCTCTAGCTAATGCAAGTGAAAAAGGGGCAATTTTTAGAATCTCATAAAGAGTTGAACAACATGTATTTATGGCAAGAAGAGCTAGCTTATGTAATAGTGAGCCCTGCAATCTCAATGCTATAGTGAGACAAAAGTATATTTCTTGCTCTGGTCACAGTCTAATTTGATCTGCAGGGAAGGAGAGAGTGTCTGCTCTACCCAGTCATGCAGGGACCCAGGCTTCCTTCATTTATTATGCCATCATAGTCCACCCTTGGCCACCAAGGTCACTGCAGAAGGGGAAATAAGAGCTTGACTTTTCCCAACACCCCTGTTTAAAGTCTCCTGCACCCCCTTGAAATTCTGCAATCCCTCTATAACACTTAGCCCATTGGAAATCATCTTGCATATTATTAGAATGAGAGCTCCGTGAGGGCAGAGACCTGCTTTATTAACTGAATATCTTCACTGCTTATTATAGTATCTGGCATAGAGAGAGAATTTTTTAAATTGCTAAATGAATCAGCAAGTGAATAAACGTCACGTTTCTGGTTGTTTCTGTTCAAAACCTGAGGCTTGCAGATGAGACCCTTTGGCCCAGCTTGGATCAGAAATCACTTCCACTATAGTCAGCTATGGCAAAGAGGTACAAGAACAATGATTAATGGGCCACTGCTATAAGCCGGGGCAGTTTCTAAAGAAAGGAAAGTATTGTGAGCTTGGCGGAGACCCTAAAACTTTGCTATCCAAAAATGTGGACCAGTAACATCAACATCTCCTGGGAGCTTATTTGAAATGTTGGGTTTTAGGTCCCACTCTAGGGTTAATAAATAAAAATCTGCATTTTAGCAAAATCTCCAGGCAATTCCTGAGTCCAGTAGAGGCTGAGGAGCACTGCCTTAGAAGTGCTGTGACTTAGTAGTAGCCCCACAACGACTCTCTGAGGTGGCTAAGAGAGTTCCTTTAATAGTCCCACACTATACCTGGAAACCAAGTGAGGTTAAGTGACTTACTTAGGCTCACAGAACAAATAAATGACAGAGCTGGATTAAAAGCCAAGGCTTCTGACTCTAAATTCCACTACACTCCATGTTGTTTCTGCTATGCAGCTCTATCTCCTGGGCAAACCTGTTTTCTCTCACTAATGAAAAAAAAAAATTAAAAGGGAATAAACAGAAAAAATTGAGCTATACTTAAATGGAGGTCAATGGCTTCAGGAATTGACTTGTGTTAGAAAAGAAAACAAGCATTTGTCACTTACAGGACATTTGATAAAATGTTTTTTCCCATTATATATTAAAGAACTCCCCGAGCAATATAATGAATGTTTATATTTCATTTATTCAGCAATTAAGCATCTTAACTTTCTTTTATAAGCATTTATAGCACTTATTAAGAAGTATCACACATCCTATTTGGGTCAATGCTTTTTGCTTTTTCCTTTAAGAAACTTTAAAAATATCTCATTATTATTACCCATGCCTGTCTTAGTACTGATTAAACTAAGTGTTTAAATAGTGCTGATTAAATCTACGTGTTATTTTGAGCGTCCTGGCCAAGGGCTCTCACCGTTTGGGAATCAAGCATTTGTAGCTCTTCTAGGACACAAGGGACCCCCTGAGACAGTGAAGGTTATGTTTGCTACTTCTGTTCCTTAGTGGTTTCAGGTACTGAGGAGTCCAGATAGCAACTATTTAAACCAGGTCTCTTTGGGTTGAGAATCATAGAAATCCATCCCAATATAGATAAATCAAAGGTAGGAAGGACTGGCTTCTGTAACCAGAGCTCAGACGGTGGATGTAGCTTTAGGACTTCAAACATCATCAGAGCTCTGTCTTCTCATCTCTCAGCTCTGGATAGAGAAAGATGATTATAGAACATGTCAGACAGATGTGGTTTCCAAAAGAAGGGATTTGTAGCACAGACCAAAGAACATAGTCACTACACCAACAAACAAAACCAGTTTGTGCTTTGTGGAAGATTGTTGGTTGTTACCCAAAAGATGTCTTTTCCTTCTTCCATAATAATGGTGTTTTACTAACACATGACCATCTAGAATAAAAACTCTACTTACCAGCCTCCCCTGCAGCTAGGTGTACCCCCATGGCTAAGTATTTACCAATATATGTGAATGGAGTGATGCCTGCAATTTCTGCATCACATGCTTGGAAGGAAATCAATTGCCCTCTTTTCTTTCTTCTCAGGGACAGAAACCCAGTTTTGTCAGTAACTCAGGGTCAACCCTGTACATGAGCATAGTGCCCCTGGGGAATATTGGAGCAGCAAGACAGAAGGAACCTGGATCCCTGAATGACCTTGTGGAGTGGAGCTGTCTCACCAGTCTTACCAACCTAGATTACCTGTACTGTTATTTATGACACTATCTCTTTTTAATTGAAATAATTGTTTATCACATGCTGTTGCAAGAAATAATACAGAGAGCTCTTGCATACACTTTCCTCAGTTTTCCCCAATGATAACATTTTCCAAAACTGTAGTATAATATTACAACCAAGATATGGACATTGATATAATCCATAGATCTTAGATTTCTTGTTGTACTTGTACTCGCTTGTGCATGTATGTGTCTGTGTTTAGTTTCTCTACAATTTTATCACATGCATATGTTTGTGCCCCTATATTTTGAAGATTTGCTTTTTTACAGCAGTTTAGCCTTTATACTAATACAAGATAGTAGAACAACATATGTTTGCCATGAAAGAATAAAAATAATGTTGTGTTGTGGGGGAGTTGGGTGTGTCTTAATCCATTTGTGTTGCTAAAAAGGAATACCTGAGGCTAGGTCATTTATAAAGGAAAGAGGTTAATTAGGCTCCTGGTTCTGCAGGCTGCATGGTGCCAATATCTGCTTCTGGAGAGGGCTTCAGGCTGCCTCCACTCATGGCAGAAGGTGAAGTAGGGATGGCATGTGCAGAGATCACGTGCTGAGAGTGGAAGCAAGAGAGAAGGGAGGGAGGTGCCAGGCTGTTAGAAACAACAAGCTCTTGTGTTAATGACTGGAGCAAGAATTCGCTCATTACCTGGCTGACAGCACCAAGCCAATCCTAAGGGATTTCCCATTGGACCCAAACACCTGCCATCATGCCCCACC